ACATATATATATATATATATATATATATATATATATATATATAGATGTACATATATATATATATATATATATATATATATATATATATATATATATATATATATATATATATATATATATAACACACGCGCATGGGCGAGTCCACCCTTAGGCAATGGCGGACTCAAGCTCACTCTTAATTTACAATATTCACCCTATATTATACTATATATTTATTTAGTCCACCAAAAATTTATTACTTAGCCCATTCAAAATTTCAATTAATGCAAAAGAAGCCCCATTTTTTTATAAATTAGCTCACTCAAAATCTAAACTAATGTAAAAAGGTCCCAAATTTATTAATTAGCCCACCCAAAATCCAAATTAATGCAAAAGAAACTCTAAAATTTGTTTTTTTTCCCTTCTTTACTTCGTTTCTTCTTTTCCTATTTTCAAAAAAAAAATCCTAAAAAAATTTTAGGGGCTCTGCCCCCAAACCCCGAAAATTTAAACCTTTGTACCAAATTCTGAACTCGCCAACTTTTGATATCGTCGTGTATTGTTACTGTGTGAAATACACGCATGGGGGGAGATTTTACGACTTTTGATTCATATTTTTCTTAACGAGTCGATATTTTATGTTGTTCATCTAATAAATAAATTAAAAAAAAAAAACATAAAGATGAAATGGAAAATCTTTTGTTTCAACTTTATAGAATTTTATCTTGGTATGAATGGGGATAAAGTTGTATTGATCTTCAATCCCCAAGCGCCATTAGATTCTTGATGTATTTGACGCTTACTCAAAAACAAATGTGTACATCTCTCTCTTTTTATCCAACTTGCTAAAGATGGTTGCACTAAAGGAAGAAACGAATATTCTTTTTTTTTTTTTTTTGCCCCAAAATTAATCCTTTTAATTTCTTCATTTCTCATTATATTATATTATTTGTTTTAAATTTTACTTATTTGTTTAATTTGTTTACGTATTTTATATTCGCGTAATCATATTTATATTTCGCATTATGATGTTTATATATACAAGGGAAATTTGTTTAACAATTTTAAAAATACATGAAGGGAACTTTTTTGCAATTCAGCCTTTTTATACAATTTATAGAAATATACCGATTTTTAAATTAATATATTCATAAAATGAAATTAGTAATTTTCCGGAGAAAAAAAATGGTTCTGAATCGGAATTATGTATAAAATTACTGATAATCATATGCCCGTCGGGTGATTAATTTTGTAGGGGTAGCCAAAAATATATATAACTTTATCCTTCCCTTGGAAGTATATAT